TGTGGGCCCCAAACTGGGTGGCACCAAAGAGCTCTTATCTACTCCCCCTGGGTTCTTGGGAGGTCTGCTTCAAGTTAGGCACTGCATGACCCCATGGTACCTTGATGCCTATTAAGCTTGTTCCCAGTCGCTAAGCCTGCTGTTTGCTCCTGTACTATCTGAACACTCCAAGGCCACCCACCATGTCTTTAATGTCCTTTGCAGTTCCAGCAGTCCCCACACTCACCAGGGGATTTTTCTGTACTTTCTGTATGCCTCCATACAACCTAAATGATTATATGGCTGGCTTGCCTTGGTCTCCAAGGTCTTTCCCACTTCCCAGCAGTAACCTCATGGTACATCATGTACCCTGTAGTACCAGGGGCTGGCCCACCAAGATTTATGTGGCCCCTACATTTCCCAGCAGCCATATCCTGACACATTGTGTATCTCTGTGGTACCTGGCAGCCTACAAGGCCATCCCTAAGCCTGTTCAAGCTGGTCTGACCACCACTGAAATTGTGCAGATTAACATCCTGTAGCTTGTTCTGGAAAAGCTGGGCCAAAAGCAAGTCGTTGTGACTAGAAGGCTGTCAAGACAGGGTTGAGTGAGGACATTGGCATCTTCCAGGTCAAGCAAGACATGTCACCAGGTCCATGTCTGTTCTCCCAGGTCACACACCCCTCACTCAGACTGTAGGGAGATCTCCTGAGACAAGGCTTGAAGGGAGGATCCCATCAGGGATGGGGTAGTTGTGGGGGAGAAAGAAGGCAGTCACGGGTGTTGGAGAAGTGAGCCTGCTAAGGGGTGGTGTGAGGAAGTTTCCTCACTAGTCCTACATAATCAGGGGCCCTCCCCTCTCCAGGGTTGCCTTCAGCCCTCACAGGCCCCATCATTGAACTTTCGCACTCATCCACCAGTGGAAAGATCCGCATCAAGGCCCGCACACGCTCTCTTAAATCGGAGGCTCTGGTTACACGGAGCGTGGTTTAGGCTCTGGGGGCACCGGGCAGAGTCAGGGCGCAGGTTATGTGCACCAGAGGCAGCAACAGCAGGAACAGTAGACGTTGCAAGGACCCTTGAAGCATGTGGGCCTGGGGAGTCCCAGGCAGGCGAAAATCAGATTGCTACAATGAGGTCTCTACTCTGGAATCAGGCGATTCAGCGGGATTGGAATCACAGGGCGCTGCAAAGGACTAGCAAGGAGCAGCAACGCCACACAGCATGCCACCAGGGGGCAGCATTACCCTTTCATCCTCAGCCTGAAGAGCGCCCCTGGGGCCTGGCAAGGATCTACCGGTTCCTCAGTCCGCTTACCTCCCACGTTGGACTCCTCCCTCTGACCCTGACCCTGTTCTGTGGGCCTGGACTAGAGAGAAAGGAGAAACGTGTGTGCATAGAAGGATCTTCCATATCTCACTCCCTAGCCAGATTTGACTAGTTAGGGTTTAGCTGCAAAATGTTCTCCTCTTCTCCAAATAGTCCATGAAATTCCAGTCCTGATTTTGAAGAGTGAATTAGGTATATATTTTTTGACTACCAGAAAGAAAGCCCTTGCTAGATGAAAAATGAAATTTCAGAACAATATTTATGGAAGGAGAGTATCTAGTTTTCACATCTAGGATTGCATTTTGTTTCTGTACATTTATACACACAGGTAAAGGCCCTAGAGGAGTCTGGATATTAAGTGTTAATGGTAGCCATCTTGGGAAGGGATTAACTACTCACTGGGAAGGGATTAACTACTCACTGGTCATGTTATATCAGCCCTTTCTGTAGTATGACCATCCTGGCTGAGGGGAGTCATGGGTGGCATGAATGAGGGCTGAACTGAATGGGGTAGAAGAGGTTTAGTGAAGGTGCCAAAGCTAAGCTTGTTGTTGTTAAGAGCCGTTGAGTCAGTTTGACCCATAGCGACCCTCTAGAGGGTTTCCAAGGAGCGACTGTTGAGCTTGAACCACCAACCTTGTAGTTCAAACCGACTTTGCAGTATAGCGCATTAACCCACAGCGCCACACCAGGACTAGCTGAGACATGAGAGGGGATGGGGTTTGGATCTCACAGGGAGATGGCGAGAGCATCCCTGGTTGGCTAGTAGCTCAGTTGGTAATCTAGTTTGAGCAGAATAACTATGTTTGGGGAAGAAGCCAGAGGAGCCTCCAGGTATAGAGTAGGTGGGACAAGAATCCTCCTGAGACAAGGTGGTCTCTAGGCTGGCCATATTAAAATAATAATAATAATAATTTTCTGTGGAGAAAGCCAGGTGCAGGGGAAGCTGATCTCAGACCTGTATGGAGCTGCACCTCACTTGCCTGAGTCTAGACTAGTCTTGTCAAGCTGAAATATTAATTGCCCCTCTTCTGCATCTGTCTGCTATTTTCCCACCTGGGCACTCAGACAAACAGGCCTCCCCTTTAGGGTCCCTGGAGAAGGGCCTTGGCCTCCCAGTGACCACTATCCTCTCTCTATCTCCTCCTTTGTGTGTTGGGGTTAAGAACCATTTGCCTTCAGCGTTTGCCCACTCAGGAAAGGCAAAAAGAGAGCAAGAAGAGGTTTATTCTGGTCTTTTAGAAATCTGAGTAGATTCTGCCATGTGTCTTTCATGTAAGTGATATTGAACAATATAGTGAATGACACCTGGTCGGCAGTTTATCAGAGTACGAAAGCATTGCACTTACAGCTGTTTCCTATTTCATCTCAGGGGAAAGGAGAGGGCAGAATGTTTGAATTTAATTTTTTAAAAACCCTTTAATTTTGAATTAAGTGAAGGTCAGTTCATTGAACAAATTTACATTCAATAAATCATCTACTCTGATTCATTAAAAAGATTGCAATCCTCTCCATGTACCATCAGTTAACAGCATTTACCGCTATTCACTTTAACTCCTGCATTCCTCCCCATGTCTCCTGCTACCTTCATCATTCCTTTGCAAACCCCTCTTGTTGTATATTGCCTGCCCCGTCACCCATGTTAATACATGTCTACCCTTCCAGCCTGTGAATAATTTTCCCTCCCCTCCATAACCATCCTAGAATATTTCTTTTATCAAGAAAACCTTTTCTTAACTTTTCACAACAAAATATTATCAAAGTAATACATAAACATTGCTACAATTTGATGAACTTGACCTATACTTATGGATGTTTTTGTTGTTGTTATGTGCCGTGGAGTCAGTTCCAACTCATAGTGATCCTGTACAGGGTTTCCAAGGCTGTAAATCTTTACGGGAGCAGAAAGTTTCATCTTTCTCCCACGGAATAGCTGGTAGTTTCAAACAGCTGACCCTGAGGTTAGCAGCCCGATTTGTAACCAGCCTCAAGGATCAAGCCTGTCTGTGTCCCCTTAGTATACAGGGTTGATTGTTGTTGTTAAGTGCTGTCAAGTCGGTTCTGACTCATAGCAACCCTGTATAGGGTTTATGAGGAGCAGCTGGTGAGCTTGAACCACTGACCTTGCAGTTCAAATAACTTTGCAGTCTAGTGCATTAACCCACAGGGCCACACCAGGTTGATAGGTATGGGCAAATTAGACATTTGCTACCTAAAATGGCTATCTATAAAAGCACAAAGTGAAGTGGCTAACTTACAAATTTTCAAGAGGGAGTTTAGTTTCAGATCGTGTGGGGGAGGTAGAATCCCCAGTGAATAGTTTTCATCTTGTGAAAGGAGTCTTGTGAGTCTGGTGAAAGGAGATGGGGATAGGACTCTTTTGATTCAATAGTGAGTAATTTTTATCATAACTAATTGCGATGGTCATAACAATAAAGGTAGAAGTTTTGTAACATAAAGGGGGGAGGTGTTAATTTTACATCCCAGAACAGAGGACCCTAGGACCATCAAGAGAGAAGAGTATAAATGGGAACATGGGGTCCTAACCAGAGAAGCAGTGACACCAGAGATGGAGGCAGAGGTGATGACATGGATAGAGCAGCTGAGAACTCTAGACTCATGGAAAGAGAAAGGCTGTGTGCTGATGGCCAGGAGGTTGGTTTGCAGGATGTGCCCTTTTGTTGTTTGTTGTTGTTAAGTGCCATCGAGTCAGTTCTAACCCATAGCAACCCTGCACAGGGTTTCCGAGGCTGTAAATCTTTATGGGAGCAGAAAGGCTCATCTTTCTCCTGCAGAACAGCTGGTAGTTTAAATGAGTATATAGTCCTGAGTATTTTTGTGTATATAAGAAAAAAAAAAAAGAGTATATATGGTGGTGGTGGTTATGTGCCGTGGAATTCAAGAAGTTCATGGAAAAATGGAACTGAAAGATAACGTAAAATTTTCATGAACTTTTTGAAGTCCTGCCTCACATAAAGCATCTTCTTGAAGGTGTCAGAGTGTTAACGAGATATTGAAGAATTACTCAGAGAGGATCCAGGGAGGTTGGGGATCCAAAGAGATGAGCCTGTCCTTTGCGGCTGTTTCTTCCCATGTGGGTGTGATGGAACTAGGGAAAGAGGGTTTCGTGTCCAGGGTCCACTCAGGTAAGAGAGGAACCTGGTGACCATCCCTAGCTATGAACTGGAACACAAAGGGACACAACCTGGGAGAAACCATGAATCAGAATTAGGTCAGTAATTGTATTTATGACACAATTCTCTCAATTCCAGATCCATCCTTCTGTCCCCTGCTCTGTCCCCTGTGACATTGGGGCTCAGAGTCTTGAAACCATACTTCCCAGATATGCCTTTACCAGCTAGCTTCTGCCAGTAGGAGTTGTGAGAGGGAAATTGAAAGGTGACGGCAGAAAGAGGGGTGTCTTTCCTGTTGTCTGTTTCTGTCTGTGCTACTCTAGTTTTGGCACTTGGCCCAAGTCTCCAGCTTTGCATGTCTCTGAATTTTTGCAATCAAGATTGTGTTTGTGAGACTTCACAGTCTCCTACTAAACCACCAGCATTGGGTGTCTGCGCCACTGAACCCCATTCTCACTGCAGAGGACTCTCATGCCTGCTTCCATGTCTAAAAAGTTTATTTTCTGGAAATAGTTGTGCCGGTACAACTGGGGGACAGTTTGTTGAGGTGTCTAAGGCTACCATTGTGACATCTGGCAGAGCCACTGGATGAAGACAGGGAAGGCAGCAAGCCCTGTGAGGTGTGGGCCCATGTGGGGAGAGAAACTTGGGAGTGACCACTTGGATGACAAAGTGGTTTTCTGGTCTGGATCCAGGTACTGTGTCTGGTACAGACGTGAGAGGACAGAGCGGCAAGAACTGGCCAGTTGCTCATCTGGGATCTCATCCTCCAATGGAGTTTGCCCCATGCTTTTCTCCCGTACCTGGAGGGGACAGTCAGCAGTCAGTAACTCCTACAGCTCTGCCCCATGCACCTGCTCTTATCCCTGAGCTACCCTTTTGCCCAGCCCAGCATACCTGTTCCACCTGTCTAAAGACCCTCAGCAGGTTTCCTCTAAGGACATGCCAAAGTTCCTCCTCACTCCAACCACGTCTCAGCAGCTCTTCTATCAGCACAGGGTATTTGGACACATCCTCCAGCCCCTGAGGGAACCTGTCAGGTCAGCAGCCATCGGGTCTCAGCCCTGGTCTCCTGGCCAGCTCTGACCCAGAACCATAGACCTATGTGCTCAGGGCCCACTGAACCCCAGCTCTGGTCAGATAAGGGAAATTGGGACTCGGAGGCAGTAAATGATTCACTGTGTTCTTTATCCTTCAGAAGGTGGCCTTGAAAAACCTCCTTAAATATTTGTCAAAACTCATTGAATTACATTATTAAGCTCTCTCTACGTCTTTAACTGAATGTGAATTTTTTCCTCCATTAACAAGAATAAGAAAAGCTTCTTAAGTTGAACTTTGAATGTGCAGGCCTGGCTACAGATAGGGCAGAAACTCAACCCACAGAGACCTTGCAGACAGTCAGCTTGGAGAATGTGAATCTGCTGGGACTGGGGGTAGTCAAACATGATGACCTGGTATGGGGCCACTGGACCACAGGGAGAGGCCAGATAATCGACCCTAGATGTGGAGAGATGCCAGGTGGACCAGCAGACTCAAGGCTGTAACTAAGGTCTGAAGGTCACAAAGACCATGGTGCAGGTGGCATGGTGACATTGAAGACCATATGGTTGTACACACAGCTCCAGACAAACAACAAGGAAGCACTCACTTGCCAGCCCCATCATAATCACTACCAATCCCAATGAACTTGGATCCAATGACTGTCCTGATGTGGTCAAAGTGATCTGGAGGGATAGAGAGCAGTGTGGGGTTTCCTGGGTAGCGTTGGGGTGGGGACTGGACTTGACCCTGCTGAGCCCCTCCTTCTTGCAGACTATAGGCCAGGTCTTTCATGGCATATTGTGGCCACTTGAGGCCCATGAGGTCTAACCTAAACGGATCCTAGCTGGCTCTAGATTGGATTTCAGGTTTGGTGTACACTCCAGAGCCACCCCTCTGGGACATTCCCATCCAGGTCCTTTCATTCCCCTTAAGAACCTGGTGGGGTACCCTCTTCATGGGTACAGAGGATAAGAGAGGAACAAAATGCAATTGGCAAAGACCTGGCAGGCCACTCTACAGAAGAACATGCAGTCAGCATACAGGCTTCCACAGATATTACAGCACCAACTCTGTGGCCCCAAAGTGCTGTGTGCTGCCCATCATTGGATTTGGGGGAGTTTTGCCTACTGCCTATGGGTCAGTCAAATTGCTGAGGCAGTCCTGAGGCCCCCTAGGGCTTCAGGTCCAAGTCAGAGCTGTTCAGAGTTCAAATTGGAGCTCACCTGCCACAGTGGACACATTGGCTAACTGGTTGCACTGAATCACTCCCATGGACAAGGACACCATCACGATGCCACCATTCTTCTTCTGTAAGGGCAGACAAATGGACACTCAGCTTGGCCCCCTCATCTGGGTCCCTGGGAGGAGGATATTTCAACCCTGACTTTGACCGACAGAGGAGACTTCACTTGTCTGAGTTTGTGTGAACGCAGAAGTTTCGACCCTGGTTTGGGTGGTGGTGTCTAGGCCCCAGGTTTAAAAGGAGGGGAGTGTTTACCACTTAGCATCTCTGGGTTCAAGAGTTTAGAGTTTGTGGGTTATGGGTTTATAGGGCATAAGGTATTCTGCTTCCTGTTTGAGAAAAATGAAGAAACAGGGGATCAGGCTTTGTGATTTGAACCTCTTGCTTTGAATTTGAGGGTGTGTTGTAGTGAATTATTTAATATTTCTCTTCTACCTTAAGTCTTTGTAATTCCATCAAACATGTTTGCCCTGACTGGTCTGGCTAAGAGAAGGTGGGAGAAGATACTGACAGGATTATATGATTCAGTTGTGAATGTTTTAACAGTTAACTGTAATTGTAAAAACCTGGAACCATCTCTGATGCAGGAAGGGGGAGATTTCACTAGTATCAAAGAGCCAGGAACGGAATGCATCTTTTGGACCCAAAGCTCCCTGCACATTGAACTGCGTTGACCCAGGAAGTAGAAAGCTGTGACACTAAAGGAGTGGCAGAGGACCAGCAGCCAAGAGCCAGAGCACAAGACAGAGCAGGGGACTTCCCAGGCCACAGAGCAAGTAAAGCTGAATGACTTCAGGCAAGAGGCTTGCTTATAGAGTGGTGCGCCTCAAGGTGCTTAAATGGGGGAGCTAAGTTTGCTGACCCACAGAGAGGGAGTTTGAGAGTTTTCAGGCTGAGGCTTATGGTAGAATGGTGTGTCCTATGGGCATTTGTGAGAAGCTGCCTAGAACTGAGCATTTCCTGATCCTGTATTGTAACCTGTTCATTTCCCTAAAAAGCGTCTTAACTAAGTATAGTGTCTGAGGTTTGTGTGGCCATTGCAATGAATTATGGAACCTAGTTGAGTAGAGAGGGTTGTGGGGGTATGGTTGGTACCACATTTTTGTAGAGTGGCAGGAAAGTCTCTTACTAGCAGTTGCAGAATGTCATCAGGAATGTTTCGAGGGCTTTCGCACACACCCCGGGCAGCTGAGTGGGAGAAGATCACAGGTGCCGAAGACACTTCCAGGACCCGCCGTGCCACACTGTCAGAGACGTGGGACAAGTCCACCATCATGCCCAGGCGATTCATTTCTGCCACCACCTTCTGCAGTGACAGGTTGGGGAGGGTCTCAGGGGTGCACATGTGTGCATATATCTGTAGGGGACAAGTGGGTGTGTGTGCTCATGTGAGGTAGGGTATAGAACCAGGGTCCTCACCTCACCAAAGCTGGTCAATCCACTGACATTGTTGTAGAAGCGGTGGAGGCCCTTAGTCGAGCTCTCTGCCCTGCAGAATGACCAAGACACAGTCTGATTACATGACCACACCCTGGCCACAAGAGCCTAGAGGCCTTGCCAGAACCCTCTATCTCTGTAACCCCTGGAGCAAGAGCAGAGACCCAGGCTAGGCTGTGCCTAGTAATTCAAAGGTACCTGCTAAGAATGGTCTCACCATGTAGACCCCAGCTCCCACTTCCCCAGTGAGTATCTACCACATCCCTGGGAGGAACCTTGGCCTGAGCCCTCAGTGTGACCTCAGACAGATTCCTGCCTCAGTGGGCCCACATCAACAGCACTGTGCTTACCAGGGGGTGTTGCAGGTGTGGGTGAGTGTCAGGTAGCGCACTCCCAACACATAAAAGGTCCGCAAGACGGAAAGGCTACTGTCGAGTGAGTGGCCGCCCTCCACACCAATGAGGCAGGCCAGTTTGTGGGTGGTGTTCAGAGCTGGGGGCAGGTAAGTGAGTTGATCACTTTCTGGGGTGTCAGGAACTCAGTCAAGTCCTTCACCACCACCCCCGCCAGCAGTCCACCTACCTTTAAAAGAGGTCACGAGCTCCAGCTCAGAATAGGAGGTACACATGCGGTGGATGAGGTCAATCTGCTCCAGGGTGAGGCGAACAGCATCCCGTCCTTGGGTCTGGCACGGGACGTAGGCTGACCAGAACTGGAAAGAAGGCTAGGGGTGGGCTTGGGCAGGGAGGAGGCTCCTTGCACTCCCTGGACTCCATAGCCAGCATAAAGGTCACATGTCAATTGCTGCTTGTTCTGTGGTACCTTGATAACTGCCTCAATGGCCCCCTCTAGTCCCAGCAGCCACCTTCCCCTCGATCCATGTCTTGGCACTTTTTGTGTCATTGTGATAACTGAGTTTACATGTCATTATTGAAGTTGTGGAGTCCTGGTGTGGCACTGTAGGATAAGCACTGGACCACAAGGTTGGTTTGAACCACAAGGTTATAGTTCAAACTCACAAGTAGCTCCTTGGAAACTCTATACAGGGTTGCTATGAGTCAGAACTGAACCAACTCAATGACAGTTTATAACAAAAATTGATGCTGTAGGATAAGCACTGGAGTGCTAACCGAAAGGTCAATGGACCAGTTACTCCTTAGGAAACACTACATGGGATTGTTATGAGTCTGGACTGACTGAATGGTACATAACAACCTGTTGTGGTCTTGTGGGTCTCTGGATTCACTCCCCTCTACACCCCAGCTATCACATCATGGTGCCCTATATGTCCCTGTGGTACCTGGGCACCCACAAGGCCGTCTCTAAGTCTGTTCAGACTGGTCTGGCCACGGCTGAAATCGCGCAGGTTAACATCCTGTAGCCTGTTCTGGTAAAATTTCCTCAGGATCAAAGGCAGGTCGTTGTGGCTGGAGGAATGTCAAGGCAGGATCAGCTTAGGGGCGTGAAGTGGGGCCTCTTAGGACTCCAAGTGAGGTAGGACGTGTCACAAGGACTGGGTCTGTTGAGGGCTCCTCCATACAGACCAGGGGTAGAAGAAGCCTTCCAATAAGGGGGTGACAGAGGAGGTGAGATAGGGAGAGGGCACCTGGGGATGGTGGAGGGTGTTTCTTCACTGTCTGCAGCTCATAGCTCCTTCCCCTGCCTAAGGGACCTTCAGTCCTCACCTGCACTCCCACTTACCCCTACTTACCCATCCACGAGCCGGAAGGCCTGCATCAGGGCGCGGGCTCGTTCTTGAAGGCCAGGAGCACTGCCGGAGCCCAGAGGTGTAGTCAGGACGCCTGACTTGCCCGTCGGGGTGCAGGTTATGGGTGCAGGGGGCAGCAGCAGAGGCAACAGGAGCAGCACATAGATCCCTCGGAGGGCGCAGGAACCCTCGAGGCCTGCGGGAGGCATGCTACACAAGGCCTGGCTGGCAAGAGAGGGCCTTGCTGTGAGACCCTGAAAGGGGCAGGCGAAGAGCAGAGGGCAACATTGGTGTCCTAACCCTTGACTGAGGAGACCTACTCGAACAGCTTGAAAGGGGCTGGGCTGCTCAATAGACGGGACACCAGCCAGCCAAGCTACCGCCAGGGGGCAGCACAGCCCTCCCGCCTAAGGCAGGGAGGGAGAGCTTGGGGGATGGGCTGTGTGTATTCACTCGCTTCGGTGGTTCAGTCCCTCTGCCCCAGATCCTGTCCCCGCCACTCACCGGGTGGTTCCTTTCCCCTACCTTACCCCTCCTCCCCCCGCCCCCCCCCGCCCCCCAGCGTGTTCTTCCAGAATACATTGTGTCAATTGTCTGCCTGCAGCTGCCGGGGACAGTCAGTGGGCAGCCAGCAGGTGTCTATGGTCCAAGTGTCTGGGCTACATGGGGATAAGGGGGTGGCGTAAGAGATATCTCTGGGAACTGGAGCTAAACTTATTGACTCTGGAATCATGACGGGCTATCTACCCCAGCCATGTGACTGGATACCCAGACTACTCGCTCCCCATGGCAAATGTCCATCCCTTGGGGACTCAAGCCAGAACCTGGGACCAGTGAGGAGCATTAAGTCTCAGTAAAGAGCGCTGCTCTGCCAAGGAGATGTTTCATCTTTACAGGGACATTTGGGACATAAACAGAGCACCTGGAGAAGGTCAGAGAACATTTACTCTACAAAGCAGAAACTCAGACATCTGGGCTATTTTTATTGTTATGTGCCATCAAGTCGGTTCCCACACATAGTAACCCTCTATAGGATTTCCAAGGAGTGCCTGGTGGGTTTGAACCACCAACCATGGGGTTAGCAGCCCAGTTACCCTACAACACCACACCAGGACTCCTGGACTGTTTAGAGGGAAAGAAATGAAGTTATGTCCCAAGCAAAAAAGACCCCCACTCCCTAGCACATTTTTCCTAGAGCTGCTGGCTTACCTGCTGGCCAGGATAACACCTACCTCAAGGTGGAAGCCCTGGTTGGTCAGAAGCCCTAGCAGGTGGGTAAAGTCCTGGCAAAGGGCTTCTGCAGCTACATCCACCTCTCAGGACTTTTGCTCTAGCAGAAAAGTCTAGGGCTGAGTTCCTTTCCTTGCTGGGTAGGCCCCACCCCATTCTTGGCTGATAGCCCTTACTCTATCTGCATTCTCCAGAAACCTCCCCTCCTCACCCACCACACACATTGCTGGGAACTCTGGAATCTCCCCAAGTGGCCCCAACTCCTTCATCCTTAGTGGCCTCTTCCTACTCCCCATAGCCCCTTAGCCTCTCAAAGTTCTGTCCTGAATCTTGGTACCTGCTGTTCCCCACTCTGGAGGCTTTCTCAGGTGACTGAGCTAAGGAGTACATGGGTTACATGGGTATGACCTGAGAAGCAGCTCCCCAAAATGAAAAGAGCAGATCTCTTGCAAAGGGACTGGGAGTGCTGAGTTACCAGGAGGGAACGGGATTCCCAGCCTGGTGGATCTGAGGGGTTGTATGCTTTGTGTTGATAGTGCCTGCTAACCAAGGGGAAGGAAAATCAATGGCACTGTGTGGGAGGTGGGTCATCTCCTGCATCCAACAAGAGTGTCTCTTTGTTGTTGTTAAGGGCCATGGAATCGGGTTTTGACTCATAGTGACCCTGTATGGGGTTTCTGAGGAGCAGCTAGTGAGTCTGAACCACTGGCCTTGTGGATCAAACTGAACTTAGGGTCCAGTGTTTTATCTCACAGTGTCACATCAGGACTTGCGACTGTTTCTAAGTGGACTCAAAGTGGAGTGTGAGTCCCCTAGGACTCTGCCTCAGAAAACAGCAGAAACAGGTTTGTCCCTGCCCAAAGTGGGTCAGGAGGCCCAACCTGGAGCTGGCTCCCTACCCCCCCCCCCACACCCCCAAGCCCACTATACTACTACAGTAGTCCCCTACACCCACCAGCGCAGCCAAGTGGAGAGAAAGGCAAGAAGCTCTTGGGTACGCTGTCTCCAGGGCAAGGATAAGGATTTAGCATGCCTGTTTCACTCTAGATAGCCCCCAGGAAGTAGGAGGGGTTATAGAATGGGGAAGAGGTGGGCAGGAAGTCCCAACAAATAAATAGCAGCTGCTCATAGAGAAGTAGGTCAGAAGAATGTTGATTTTTGAGCTTTTCTCCAAGGGCCAGATGTCTAATACCTAAAGTCACAGGAAAAATGAAACCAGCAGTGACAGGCTCAACTGCACCAGCAAAGGTGGGAATATCTCTGGAGAGTACTGGCCAGGTAGCATGATTGTCCACAACATCCAACTTTGTCAAACAGGCTAATATTGCTGACCAAGGCTTCATGGTATAACGTTCAGACTCTGACACACTCAGGATCCTCATGCCCAAGTGGAAAGCTGGTTGTAGAATTTTCTACAAAGAATCTCTGGTGGTGCCATGGTTAAGTGCTGGGCTGCTAACCAAAAGATTAGTGGTTTGAATCCACCAGCCACTCATCAGGAGAAAGATGTGGCAGTCTATTTCCATAGATTGTTGTTAAGTTCTGTTGAGTTGGTTCTAACTCATAGCGACCCTGTATAGTATTTCCAAGGAGCAGCTGGTGTCTTTGAACTGTCAACCTTATGGTTCAAACCTTGAAACTCCGAGGCAGTTCTACTCTATAGGGTCACTATGAGCCAGAATCAGCTTGATAGCAATGTGGTTGGTTTTTCTTCTTCAAACCCACCAGCTACTCCTTGGAAACTCTATATTGTGTTGCTATGAGTTGGAACCGACTCAACAGCACTTAACAACAACAACAACAAAACTTCCTCTCTAGAAGCCATCCCTGTGCCCTTTTTCTTACAGGGGACACAAGCATTGAAGAGATGAGTCAAGCCTTTCCCTTTAGGAGCTCCCACTATCAACGACACAGATCTGGATGCAGGGACAATTTTGGGGCAAAGGCTATGGATGACAAGTTATCTAGGTATTGGCAGTTGGCAAAAGTAGAAACAGGTGAAGGCAAGAAAGCTCCGGGCCTGGCTTCAGCCTGAAAGTCAGGCCAGATGCTTCTACCTCTTTACCCCCTCCCCACCTACAGCATCTCTAAATCCTGTTGGCCCAACCTCCAAACACCTCCCAGGCATGTCTCCTCTCCTCCCCACAACTTCTAACCCTTTATAGGCCATCCTCACAACTCTCACATATCCTCCTAGTCTACTCGCCTCCATTTCCCTCTTTTCAAAAAACTAATACCATCCCACTGGCTTCCCATTGATATTGTTGTTGTTGTCGTTGTCAAGTTGTTGTCAAGTCGAGTTGATTCCAACCATAGCGACCCTGCATAGGGTTTCCAAGGAGCAGCTGGTGAGCTTAAACCACAGACCTTGCAGTTCAAAAGGCTTTGCATTAACCAACCCAAGGCGCCACCCCAGGACTCCCATTGATATTAGGATAAGTCAAACTCCTGTCTTTGGTTTTCAAGTCCAGGGGAATCAGCTCCCACTGACCTTTCCAGGCTCAACAAATAGCACAAACTCCTTGTCCTTTAAATTCTGGCCAATACCAGCCAAGCTGCCTACAGCCACAGGACCTTGGCACATGCTGTGTCTTCAGCTTCCATTGGTGGGGCTGTTGAGGCAGAAACTCTTGTTGCCAGGGAGGGGTGGGTGAATGGACAGCTTTTCCCATGAATTACCCACATATGTTTAATGCATCAAATCTGTTCTTCAGATGATCTCCAAATTTAGGTGGGATAAATTCAAGGTCATATTTTGGCTCTCGTAGACTTGTTTTCATTTTCTTTAGCTTTAATTTGAATTTGCATATCAGTAATTGATGGTCTGTTCCACAGTCTGCCCCTGGCCTTGTCTTCACTGATGATATGGAGCTTTTCCATCTTTTCTTTCCACAGATGTAGTCAATTTGATTTCTATGTGTTCCATCTGGTGAGGTCCATGTATTTATGGACCTATTATGCTGTCTAAAGAAGGTATTTGAAATAAACAAATCATTTGTCTTGCAGAAATCTATCATTCATTCTCCAGCATCATTTCTATCACCAAGTCCAAATTTTCCAACTACTGGTCCCTCCTCTTTGCTCCCTACTTTTGCATTCCAATCACCAGTAATGAGCAATACATCTTGATTGCATAGTGTTTATATACATAAAGACCTGGAAGAGGCAGTGGAAGAATGAAACTTCTCTCAGGGATAAGTTTATCCTCATGGCAGAGCTGACCCACCTCCAGTGTCCTGTAAGAATATGGAGGGACCTAAGAAGTCAGGCTGCACCAGAGTTACATATAGGCTACTTCACACTTCAGTGTGCAGGGGTAGGGTGGAGATGGGGGATTACTCAGTACCTGGTATTACCCAAATTATGGCCATTTCCATTCAGGGCTTCTTGGTCCTGGACACTCATCCTGCTCCCACTCTTTTTTGGGTGGTGTTCTTCTGGCAGACTACCTCAGTCAAATCTCAAAAAACAACAGTCTCCACAGCCAGAAGGCAGCCTCCTGCAGTCACAAAGCCAAGGCCACACTTCTTGAAATGACGAACAGCTAGCACAATTTTCTTCCTCAAAAGGCAGTCCTGGTTTATCTTGCCAGGAATACAGTGTCAACTAACACGCCTCTGATTCCTGCTTCCAACCCGTTTTCTCCCCAATCCCTTCCTTCCCTTCTATACTGACTGCTTCTCCACCAACTGCTCCACTCGGGAGACATGTGATGGCTGGGGTTCCAAAAGCATGGCTGAGCCCCTCGTGCAGTCATTTCTGCCTGGTTGCAGGCCTTAAAGGAGGATCTGATACACAGTCATCTGGTACACAGTCTCTAGAGCCATCACATACAGGGCCTAGTATGCTTGGAGTGTCTGACTGGGCTGATTCTGGGAACCAGATGTTCTGGCAACTCAGGCGTGAGACCCACAGGGCTTGGCTCACATGTTGTCTGAGTTCCGAGGTAGTGCCGTCAACCCAGGCGTTAAGAGGGGCT